ACAAACTAAGTATCACTCTTCTATCTTTGTAATTCATCCCTACATTTTTAAGTATATTTAACATCTTGTCCCATTTAACATTGTCAAAGGCTTTCTCTAAATCTACAAATCCTATGTACGCAGTCTTTCCTTTTTCTATCGTTTTCTCTATTGCTACCCGTAAAGCTAGAATGGCCTCCCGCGTTCCTCTATTTCTTCTAAACCCAAATTGATCTTCCCCTAATAGTTCTTCCGCCCTTTTTTCCATCCTCCTCTGTACAATTTTAGTTGACGCATGGGAAGTTAAGCTAATTGTTCGAAATTTCTCGCACCTATCCGCGCCCCTCTTCTTGGGTAATGTTACTACTACGTTCCGTTTATAATCCTCTAAACACTTTTATATCACATTATTACCACGGTACCTAATAAACGATAAAAAAAATTGAATAAAACTTTAGAGCCGATGCGGTGGTTTAGCCATGGGGAGGGGGGGGGGTGAAAATAACTAATAAACAATCAATTGTTATTTTAAAAGTAACTTTATTGAAATAACATTTCGTTCCAAATTGTTCTTAAAACTAAATGCAAACCTCTTTCATTCTTACTTCAACTATCGTATCTAAGTATCTATGTACTTTATTGTAATAAATGATTTTACATTTACACCAAAAATCTTATCACTGTAACGCATCACTGGGGCATGTTCTCAATGTAGAAAGCATCTCTGAAAATTCCTTGAGCGGTTCACTCTCGTAATTTAGAGAAACAAGTCCCGTTGTTTTGTCCTGCAGAAGAAGAAATGCAAATAAATTACGACCAATACATTTATTCTTTAAAAAGGGGAACGCGTAAGGGAAATCAATTCCGAAGTTATTTTTCACACTTACCAAGAATAGAAGGTTAGACTTGCCATTGAATGGGCCAAACAGTTTGAATAAATCGGGTCTTTTTGTGTACAATGAGCTTATAGAAACGAGGGCGTTTTTTATTTCATCCACTTCTCCATCGCTCTTGCTGTTACTGGTTAACACCTACAACAAAAAAAAGAAACGAAATCGTTTTATATAAAGCAAAAAATAAACCAATGTTATTTTTTCGTACTGTTCTCGACGGAACCCGTGAAAAGTAGCAGTCGGAAAACTTATCAACAGAAACTCTGCCACCATTTGGACATAACAATTCGTAATCTCCAGATTTCAAATCTTTGGCCCAAGATTCCAGATTTTTACCGTCTAGTAGATAAATAAGAAGCAATTATTATGGACAACTTAAGCAATGAAATTAACTTACTTGTGTTGGAAGAAACTGTATCCTGAAGGACGAAAGCGACGTCTCCGACTCCCTGGGCCAAACATCTAAAAGCACCGTCGTATCCAAAGTAAGATTCTGTAGAATCTCTGTTACATTTGCTATCCAAAGATGTACCATCGTTGGCATCCACGTTTCCTCCACAAAGACTACAAAGTTTTTCGATAACAGGGACTGGAACGTTTGTCAGATTTTTGGCCCCTGGAGCGCAACTTCCACCTAAAACAAACAATTATTTTGAATCTCAAACCTCTCTAGGCCAAATAAAATAATTACCTGAAAAGAATTCTGCAAGAGCTGTTTCATAAGGACATCCTTCCTTCTTGATCTGTTTTTCCTTGATAAGGTTGTAGATTGGAGCGTAAGAGCCCCCCAAACTATTAACAGCCGGGTGGCAAGACTTCTTTCCTTTCAAGTCGCTGATAGACTGGAATGGAGAGTCTTTTTTGACCACGGCAACTGTATGGGTGAAACCATCAGGTTGTCCCTGGTATATTTCGGAAACTATCGGCTTGAGATTGAATTGACTTTTGGCCTTTTCAGCAGCTATACCATGAAGGGTTATGACATCAGCTCCATTATCTCTAATCGTTTTCAAGCAACCTTCGACATCTTTTTCTTCCACACAGTCAAATCTTGGTCTTATATCTCTTGAAAATGCTGACTTGCTGAGAGTTCTGCATTTTTCTAATTCATCTTTGGAAGTCACGCAGAATCTACACATAAAAAATTTTATAATTAGACATAGAGGTATCTTTGTGGCAGACAATATTACCTTATGGTCTTTACTGGTGGGCCGTAATCCCTTTCGATAACATCAGTATAATTGGCCTTATCCAAATAATCTTTTGGTGAGATGATTTTGGTTTCTTTGGGCAGCAATTTTTCGTCCAGTTCGAGAACCGACTTCAACCATGTTGCGTGACTTTGGCTACCAACGGAATTCAAATTGACAATTTTGCTTCTCAGTTCGTCAACTGTTTTGGCAACGTCCGCGTTGGTCATGAACCCTTGCCACGGTCTTGCAGCCCATCGGCAAGCACTTCCATTGATTGGTACCGTAGTTGCATCTGGACATAAATATCTGTAATCGTCTGGATTTTCGTTTGAGGGTTGCGCTGGTGTTGTACCAACTGGTAACTGTGGAATAAATTCAACGAAATTAGAATTATTTAATTTGAGGGGAATGAAATGGTAACGTGGTACATACCCCAAAGAATTTACGAACATATATGACCTTGGTCCATGCGATTTGGCCATTGTTGTGAGCAAGGCAACGTAAGGCACCGTCATATCCAGAGAATTTGTCTGGATAATCGCATTTTTCTGGTTTTTCGCACAGTTCACAAAGATTTGCATATTTTTGTTCTGAAATAATTAATATCGATTAAATTCGCTATCTAATCGCCTAAAGTAAACGATTTTAGTATGTAGGGAATTAAGTATCAGGCATTAGAAATATTTAGAAGAAATAAATAGCAATAAAAGAATGTTGTTGTTTTAGCTCCTGCAAATAATCTTCACCAGTTGACCAATTAAATTATTTTTTCTATACTCGGTTACTGATTCAGCCATGATAGGTACTTTGACACGTACGTGTGCGTGTTATAACAGGCACCGAGTCGTAACTGAAGTTGATTAGAAAATTACTCACTTAATTTTAAATTGATTTTAGGGTCTGGTGACCATTTCCCGACAATGCAAGCCTTAGAAAATAAATTCGAAAGTGCTTTCAACTCGTTCTCCCTCGGAGACAAATCGGGTTCATTAAGATTTCCAATTATTCCCATTTTCTTCAACTTCGTAATCGGTATTTTATAACCGACGTTACGTCCCACCCCCGTGTGACAGGACCTCAACCCCTTAATGTCGCTAATCTTTTTAATATCCAGATCTTTGTGTATTACAGCAACCCCTTCATATCTGAACTCGGCTAAAAGGGATAAATCGATAATAAAAATCACAATTGATTCTAATCACAACGGAATTACCATCTGGTTCTTCTCGAGTACGAATTTCTTCAAAAACAGTGAAATCTTCCTCAGGGACATTTCCAGCAATGTACATGTCTTCAGGGTCCATTACGCCGAAATCTGCTTGCCGTTCCTTTATTTTGTCTATACATTCCACCCTAAAAGGAAGTCAAACAAATGACCTAGATTATTGAGACATTTTAGGACCCAAAACCCATCCTAGTATCTAGATTATCCTGATATTTTAAGTAAAATAAATACCTAATACATTAATTACAATTCCAATTGGTTTTTTCTTTGTTTCAGGTAATTAATCAATTTGGAACCATCAGTGTCAGTATCAGTATCAGAAGGTTCGCTGACAGTAATTTACTTTAGATTTACAATATCTTGCCATTAGTTAATATCATTTACATAAACAACTAGTAGTAATGTCATGAAATGTTACGTTTTCGTATTACAGTTTTATTAAAACAACCTTGCTTTAGTACAGTTATAAACTACAACGCCTTTGAAGAAATTGTTTCTGCCTATATTAAGAACAATTAACTGCATACATACTTAAAGTTATTTACTATATTTCTGTGTTATTTGTTAATATATTATCGTAATTTTCTAACCTATCCCGTGCTGGTATACAAACAATTCTAGCGGATGTTTTGGTTTCTTGACCGGCCATTTCGTTACAAGCGCCCAAAAGTTCTTCGGGAACGCACATCTTATCTGAAAGAAAATCGGGTAATAACCATAAAATTTTCCATTTTGTCGACTAACAACAGATTGTAAAAAGCGGTATTGAACGTTGGCTGTTTTACTTTTTAGCCGGTCGTTTAAGGGGTAAATAAAACTGTTTCTTATTTTATTAAATGAACCTTCCACGTACCTAAGGGTTTTATTTGAGAGGCATTTATTTTTTCTACGAAAATTTCATTGCTGTTAACAATCTCAAACTCAAAGCATTATTTAACAACTTAACAATGAAACAATTTAAATTCCAATAGCCTTGCTGACATTGCCGGCCCAGTTTACAAAGAATTAATAAGATTATTATTTTTTAAATTCTTACAAGTAAAGAGCAAAGTAACCACCTTAACATTGACAAATGTTTATACATAGATATATATTAACTAACAACAAATTAAATAACTTTGCATTTAAATGATTATGTACATAAATTTAGTAGAGACTGGCAAAGCGTTTCAAAACTCTAAAGGTTATTCAACTTTTCAATGTTAAAAACAATAAAATTATAAATAATAAGCAGTATTTGTTGTTACGGTATAGGAGAAATGGGAACTCTGTTAATAAGATATGAATTTGCATAACTGTTTTTGAATTATAATATGGACTTATGTGTTAGAAAAGAATAACTGAAGGTCAAGTATTTTTTTAATTTAACTGGTTTTGGTGTTTAAACCTCTAATATCAATAGCAATCTGGTATAAACCTCAATTAAGGCGATATATAGAATCGTCTGATTCTGTAGTTTTTACAGAACATAGAAAATAAACAAGCAATCAGAAATCCTTTTGTAGAATACCTTCTACTTATCTTAAAAACGAGCAGTTTCACTTGTTACTTTAGAATTTATTCAACACATAATGGTTTATAAAAAACAACATATTTTCCCTTTTATTTGTTTAAAAAGTTAGGAGACCTTCTGCAACTGTAATAAGGACTGCTTTTCTCTTTACTATTGTTTGTTCAACAAATATTTTTCTGTTTGCTGGAAAAATTTGTAAGCGCATACTAAAAATTCTCACTTACACTCATGATGCGAGCTCCTCCGAATTCTGAAAACTCTTCCATGAACAGCTACGGTCGCAATCACCGCTAATGTTACTAAAATCTTCATTGCGTTGTTCAAAACACCAACAACTCTGAAGAACTAATAATGTATTCTTGAAGTTGAGGCTTTTATAACAAGGTCTACAACAACCGCACACTCTTGTATATAGTAAACACCAGGCTTGTGTGTATGTATACGAATGTTTTGTACAATCTTTTATTATTGCAGGGTTCAGTCCCGACATAATAATAATTTTCGATATTGCTAATTATTACTTTAAGAAATCCCCAAACCGATAACTTTACTTATTCAGGCTAAAAAACCCATGCAATAATTTGTTTATGTCGATATAGTATTTACAGTAAAGAAGACATTATCGTTCTCTCATTCCTGATAAGAATACCGTCCCCACAGATTAAAGCGCTAAAAGTGGGAAAACCCCGGATAAGCGCTTGGCGTTAATATTGTAATCGGTCATTTTTTTTTGTAGTAGAAGCTGTTATGACAAGTAAACTATAGATTAATTAGTTTAAGCAACATAATATACAATAAATAAATAAATAAAAGACAGCTTCGGTTTGTTTTCTTTTCATTTTCATTGTTGTTTTGAGAAGGCTTGTGGTCGTCGGTTAATTGCGTATAAAGTTTTTCTTTATTACGTAACATTCACCCACGAAATGCGCCATACAAATCACCATTCTAACCCCCTTTATACTTTGTAATGGCCTATAAATTAAACTAATTGCCTGTTTGTAAAGAAAAGGCAAGATAATGTATTGTGGTGATAAAGAAGAAAATTTTTTCAGTTTCCGTCACACTTTGCAGAAATTAGGACGAAAAGTAACATACTGGGGTAGAAAATTAGTCTAAACACTTTTCATCATCATCATCATAAGGTCATCAGTCCTAAGACTGGTTGGACACGTACCTTCACTCTCTCCTACCCTGAGCTAAACTTCGCATTTCCCTACAACTAGAACAACCCACATCCTTGACTATTTGCGAAGAGTAATCTAATCTAGGTCTACCTCTACCCCTCCTAACTCCTGTTTCTGCCTCTAATATGTCTCTGACTGGACCTTCATGCCTGAGAAGGTGTCCTACCAACCTATCTCGCCTACTTTTTATTGACTTCCATAGAGTCCTCTGTTCTCCTATTCTTTCCAATACCTCTTCATTTCTAACCTT